GGACTTCGTCCCCCTGGACCCCCTCCCGCGCCCACACCCGCGTCGGGCCTTCGTGACGAAAAATAGTATATGCCATTCGGGCGATAGCGTTGGTTTGTGAGTCGTGTGGAGTTTGCAACACTCGGCATGGCAAGCGTCCGACTCGGATCGCCTTCGGCGATCCTCGTCTCCTGCTTGCCACGCCTCTTGCTGCAACTCCACACTCCTCACAAACCGCCGCTTATCGCCCTCATGACATAATGTACTATTTCCTTTCGGCTATACGACATATCAGCAAACAATTTTGAAATATGATTTCGATCAGAAGTTTTCTGACTATTCCGGAAAACGTGTCAGATCGGCGGAAAAAGTAGAGACATAATGAGAAATTTGATAGATCTAGAAAAAATCTGAAAAAAATCAAGAGTGATCTAGATCATATTGAAGAAGTCCCGTGAGATTTTTTATGTTCAGTGTTACCCTTAATTATATATTCAAGCTCAAAGTTGCCATGTTTTTCTGAAACTTCTCCTTATACACGGTACATGGCCCGGTGTTTCGGAATCAAAATTTGAAAATCTAACTACTTATGAAATTTTTGGCGGATATTTTCAGCGCTAGGACTTCAAAACAACTCAAAATGAGGTGTCAAATTTTTTCAAATTTTTCTGAGGCTTTACTTGCAATGTGATTTAAAAAATCGGAAAACTGCGGCGCGGCGCTCATAGCGCGACCAACGGAGTGTTAAACATTTGTCTTTCGGTTTTCACCATGATGTTAAGGTGAGAGACAAAAATGACCATCATTTTTGCAAAATTGGGAAAATTTCCAATCAAAATCTGTTTTGATTTTTTTAGGCATTTTGGAACGTGTTCAATTTGAATGAAGAATGTTGAGGCGAAAGCGTTCAATCACGCGGAGCGTCATTAATTGAACCGTGGAATTCCTGGTACTCGAAAAATCTTTCAAAACAAAAAAAATTGTCGAAAATTTTGAGGCCGGACTTCTCTATCATATTCGACAGAATGGTCCAGATAGTGTCAAAGATTCTGATAGATTAGCTTGCTCTCAGATACAAGTCCTAAAAATAGACATATGGGTAATTGGAGGGGGTCCCCATAAGTGCCACTTTTCCACAGATCGCGGACACTTTGTTATTTCAGGATATCCAAATACTTTGGCGATTTTTTCTCGAACCTCAGAGCTTTCATTTTACAATGATTTTATTATTTACACTTTGCAGGTCTGAATTTGAATCTCGATATTGAACCGCTAGAAAACGTTTTAAAAATCCGAAAAAATTGGAAAGTTTACATGTAGAGGAATATCGATGAAGTAATGAAAAAATTGCAGTTTTCGAAAATTACGAGCATTTACTATAAATAATTTAGGAACAGTCAATTTGTCGCCATAAAAATCATTTGTTCGGAATCGTAATAACTTTATTCATATTCAGAATTTTACCAGAAATCGTTAAGATCTCCGAAAGTTTAAAGAATTTCAAGTATTTACTTATAAACAACAAATGTTAACAAAAATAATAACCCTGTGCAAAATGTAATTTGAATGATGGTGAATATGCATGCTTTTTTTCAAATTTTCATCACGCAATTTAATTAACAAATTTGATGATTAAAAATAGTTGAATCTATAGTGTGGTTTATACCAAACTGTAAAAGATACTTGGATGTCCCTAATTTCGAATGTTTGTAACTGTGCTCTAATGGAAATTCCCTTTGCACTAAAATGATTTGTTTACTCTGCCCCAATAAATTTTCAATCCATTTAAAAATCGCTGAGCGTGGCAAAAACCGGGACCGCGGCAGCTACGGGGCATCGACCGTATTCAATCAACAAAAACATAAGCAATTACCCACTCGGTTTTAACTATATCTAGCGATATTCACCACAAATTTTGCTACGTTTCATGTTTACAGTAGATTTTTTTATAGCCTGTACTTGAGCCAAATTATAATTGAAGTACTTGGTTAGAAATAGAGAATTAGGCAGCTTTCCCCATCTAAAAAATATATATATATATCATCGAAGAAATCTATTCGTGTCTTCGTCAACCCAATAAGTCCTCCGTCTGAGAAGAAATCCATTTACTCTCAATGCAATTCGTCATCAACTTTCATTCCGCTACCCAAACTCCCACTAATCTCTAATTACTTTCTGAATCTATAGTCTGGTCTCTACCAAACCGTAAAAGATACTTGGATATCCTTAATTTCGAATGTTTGTAATTGTGCGCTTATGAAAATTCCCTTTGCACTGAGATGATTTGTTTACTCTGCCTCAGTAAATTTTCTATCCGTTGAAAATCGCTGAGCGCGGCAAAATCCGGGACAGCGGCAGCGACTGGGGCATTGACCGTATTCAATCAACAAAAAGTTGAATTGTTTTCCCCCCAGAACAAAACATAAACATCTCAACACCTTATTTACTCACAGTTTTGTCTCCAACTTTCATGACTTCGCGATCGTTCCGCGTGGACTTCCGAAGTTATCTTGAACGTTGCCATCTCAGAGGATCATCGATCTCCCTCGACCCAACTAGAAATGATTATCGGAAAATTCACAAGATCACTAACGTTTTATTGTTCAGTTATAAATCACTAAACACCGTAGGCTTTCACTTTCTGAAATTTAAGTGCTAGAACCCGAACAATCAATCGCGCACTCAAAAAAACAATGCTCATCGGATGATTAACTGTCGCACTGCTTTCCACAAAATAATATAACATTTCTTGCATAACAGCCCATGATATATTGTCATACTTTGTTCCCAGACGATGCCAAAAACTCGTCGAAGGGCAGACCACAAATATCGTCAAGGGGCACGACGTTGAGTGTCCCTGAATTTGAATTACTTCATTCTCTTCCGCCTCACTAGGCCTAAGTTTCTAAAACGAATGATAAATTTCATCACTTAAAGTCTCCAAGAATCCCAGAAATGCAGTCAAACCCTAAAAAAAACTGAAGACATTCCGTAAATAAAATTATGAATAGTTGAGCGAGAGAAAGAGAGAGACCGATAGAAATTGATTGCTAATTTTTTTACGTCAGCGTCAGGTTATAATTCTGTAATAACAGTTACGCATGCGCAATCTCATTGTTTCAAATGAAAGCGTTGAGTAGCTACGATTCATTATTACTTCCTAGTCTATTTATTTATCATTCGTTGCATATTGTTAATTATCTCGGTCATTAACAATATTGGGAGATAATTTGAAGAAAGCACAATTTTGTGAGCTACTAATATTTTTCGATAGAACTCAGTTATGAGTTAGTTCACGGAGAAAATTATTTGGTCACATTTAACAACTATTTAATTAAAATTCAGAAAAAGATTTTTCAATTTCATTTGTTAAATTCTCAATAAACGTTCGTCGATTTATTTGATGGATCAAATTTAGCAAGAAATTATAGATTATTGCGAAAATATCTTCTAGGGGAGACATTGATCGATTATCAAGATATAAATGATTACGGGATTGTTTCCAAATGTACATATGCCCTCACCATCTAGTTTGATTAGTAAAAATTGACTGAATGAAATTGAAATTTTTTTTTTGATTTTTCATTAATTAGCTGTTAAATTTCACCAACTAGTTGTTGAAATTCAACAAGTATCAACAGCAAGTTTTTCTAGTTATAACTAATTTTTTCAACAACTATTTGGTGAATTTTAACAACTCGTAATTATCTAATAATTTTCTCAGTTCCACAATTATCGAAATCATTAGGAGGGATGTTAGGAGAAATCATCGGAGAACCTTTCGTACAGGAAATTTCCTTGGCCACAAGGCGGTTGTTTCACATTTTTCGATAAAATCACTTACTTCTAAGATAATTACCTCATTTGACATAGTCTTAAGAGTTTCAAGCGATTTATTATGCATTAGTGTCAGGTTATAATGGCCGTAACTAAATCTACACATGCTCGATGTCATTATTTCCAAATAAAGCAGGAAATAGAAACAATTACTACTCTCCATGCAGAAAAATTGCAGCAAAGTCAGCGAAAAAAATACGAGATATTTGTTATGCAATGAATTGGCGATACGTTAGATAAAAAACATGAAAACAGAACGAATCAAAATGTCGGAGCTGCGATACATGTTGACCTGTGTCAACAATCATCTTCTTCACCTCTTGGTCTTCTGATAAACCTCGATACAATTTCAGTCGACAAAACTTGTTTTAGTGGCGGTAGCTCAAATAAAACAACTTTCAGTATCCGCATACGACTTAAGGTATTTCGTGTGAAAAAACGTAAATAATGAAATTCATCTGGAATTCACATAGAATGTTTATAATTACAATTGAATCATCTGCGAATTTTCCTAGAATTTTTTAAGATTTCCTTTTCAAGTTATTAACGATTAAAGTTGCTGCTTATACATGGGCTCTTATGGAGATTTTTCTGTTTAGCATGAAACTATATTATCAGCTCAGATGGTAATGTAGTTTCGTGCTAAACAAAAAATGTTATATTGTGTTACTAGTGCGTAAAGTTCCACGTTTCACACGCACGTGTAACACATCCTATTTTTTGTGATACCTGCCGAGTTCATTGTTCGGAGCGGTGGTGTGGATAATGTGGTTGTTTCTGTGCACGCTCGTGAAATTTCCGCACGCCGTGCGGGAAAAAATCGCCTTACGCACCCTAAACCGTTCCTAAAAGTGCACTTTTGAGGCAGGTATCACAAAAATCTCCATAAAAGCCTATGTATAAGAAGCGACTCATACAATCGTTAATAACTTGAAAAGGAAATCTGAAAAAATTCTAGGAAAATTCACAGCTAATTCAATTGTGATTTTAAACATTCTACATGAATTCCAGATAAATCTCATTATTTACCTTTTTCTCACGAAACACCTTAACCACACGGTAAAAATATAGAACCAATCACCGATTGTGTACATCTTGAACTTTACTACACGGAGAGAAATATTCAATAAAAATTACGTATCTTTTCCGTAATTCCGGAGCGAAATGTGGTTGTAAGAAATTTTACGGAACAGTCACGAAATTTTTCCAGAGTGTTCTGTAATTTTTATCTGAATCTCCTGTGAAAAATTACGATACTGTCACTTAAATTTTCTGAGTCGATGCCGTAATCGGTGAGCGAATTGTGAGTTCCGTAATTTTTATTGAACATTTCACTCCGTGCATTTTGGAAACGCGCGATGAAATCATGGGGTATTTCATGTTAGAAGTACGTAAATTTCGTTTGTAGAAGTTCCGTAGACTCCAAAAAAGGCTTTTTGGGAATTGCTCTTAATATCACTTATTAGAGGAGGGTGGGGTAAAATGGACACTTTTAACTTTCTTAAAAATATTCATGACGTGTTGAATTGTTCATGAAATGAAATAATTGTATTTTTCAATTGAAAGGATAATTCTTCCCCTTTGTGATGAGCTTAGACTGAGCTCAATTGATAAATCTATTTCTAACTTATAAATAGTTTTTAAGGAGTAAAAGGTGTCTTATGTTAATTTTTTAATCACCTGGATAAAAAGTGATGTAAGGTGAAATCATTCAGAAATTTTTAGGTCTGAAACGTTCTCCGCTGCAAAAAAAATTCACTATTTTCACCTGAAAACCCTCAACTCCGAACATACTCGCAAAATAAACACAAATATCTTCAACGATAGACATCATTGCCTAATTATCTCAATAGCGAATGATTTCACGAGAAATCATCAGAGGACAGTTCGATTTCTTCCTCAATTTTTTGTTTAAATAGTATTATTCAATTTCTGCAATACTAGTCATGTCTGTAATTTTCAAATTGAAAAAAAAACTCATTTTTGACTTTTGTAGTGGGAGCTGGTAAACCAAATTTTTCATTGCTCATTTATCCTTCCCTCCTCCATTATTGTTTTATGATGATTTCCTTTGTAAGTAGAAAAGTAGCCATCTTACAAATTTCGCAAATGGACAACAGGCCAGTTTTGTAGGGGATTATTGTTCATCAAAAAAAAAAAAAAAATTTAGAGTTATTTCAATAGTAAAACAGGAAATCCAAAGCTACTCTATATTTCAAATTTTCAATGTTAAATTCAGTAGCGAAGCGGTAAACCGGTTCAAGCCGATTTAGGCTATTGATGAGTTTTTAATGAATAGCTCGGAACGTAAGCGATATAGCAAATTTTTTCTAATAACCTTGTTTGAAACGCAACTAAAATTCCAGAACATTCTGGTCGACCATCGGCCTACTTCGAAAATCTCCGGGACCCTTCGGGTCATCAGTCATAAGTTAGCGAAACACGCGCGAATCGTTTTAGGCTTAGCCTCTCACCGTACAAGTCTATCTCGGGCAAATCACCTGTACAAGTTTTATATTGCACCTCACCGAGTACAGTAGCTTCTTGAACCTCACCTAGCTCACTAGTAATCAAGTACATCACTGGTCTTTGTAAGATCACCGTTTTGTTCAGTACATCACCTCTGTTGATTAAATTCAGTCTAAATTCAGTGACTCAACGAATTAACAGTGAAAGACAATTATCAGTGTAATTAGAGATTCAACAATTAAATTACCAAAGAGTGTAAACAGTTTTGACAAAGTGGTTCGATCCCACAAAATAAAGTGTGATATTTTAAATCCGGCTCATCAGTAATTTTCCCAACATCTCCCTCCACATTTTCATCCCACATCCGCCCTAAATCTAGTCATTCACCAAATAAACCTTTTTTGTAGAGCGAAATGAGAGCTACAAAAAAGGTTATAATGAAAATTTTGCTATTTCTCTTAGATTCGGAGATATTTTTCGAAAGCTCAGCAAAGAGCTAAGTCGACTTAAACCGGTTTACCGCTTCACTACTGACTTTAATAGAGTTGAAGTTTATTTGTTAATATCTCTTCCAACTCAAATTTCCCTCCATAAAAAGATACCGACACGATTCTGTTGGAAAATGTCTGTTGAAAATTTTCTTGATTAAAAATTGAACAGAACCAACTTTTTCGGGTGTCCATGTTACCCCACTCTTGGATAATTTTTCGGTTGTGCACTTTGCCAAGAAGCAATTTTCAATAATTCCATTATTGAAATTTTTTTTTCGTTTTTTGAGCGTCCATTTTAGTTCATCCTATGCGGATTTATAACTCGAAGAAACAATTTTCAAAAATTTGAATGTTGAAAAAAAATTTTTTTTTCCCAAATTTTTCAGTGTCCATTTTACCTTACATGTACATATTGCCCCACCCTCCCCTAATTTCAAGAAACATAATCATATGACTTCACTGATTACATTTCAATAGCGAAGCGGTAAAACGGTTCAAGTCGCACGTATGAAAAAATCGTGTAGAAATTTTCTATACAGATTACGTATAGAAACTCTATAGGATTTTCGTATATGATATTCGGATATTTCTATACGGATATTTTTTATACAAATTATTTCTATACGATCTCTATAGGTTTGATCCCATACGATCCACTGCCACAGGTATAGAAACCTTTCGTACGGAGTTGTAACATTTTCTCTACGTTTTTCTCTGGACCGTTTAGAAATCTTTCGTATGAAAACAAAAATTTATGTATAGAAATAATTCGTATACAAAATATTCATATAGAAATATCCAAATATCATATACGGAAACCCTATAGAATTTCTATACGCAATCCGTATAGAAAATTTCTATACGATTTTTTCATACGTGTGATTTCGACTAATGGCCAGTTTTCAGTGAATATATCTAAATCCAAGGGTTATACCAAAATTTTTGTCACGACATTTTTTATAGCCCTCAATTCGCTCTACAAAAAACTTAATTACGAAAATTTCCCTATCTCCTTTAGATTCGGAGATATTCCTGGAAAATTCAGCTGTCTAAGTCGACATAAACCGTTTTACCGCTTCGCTACTGAATTATTTCATTGATTCGAATGTGATTACTATTTGATTACACCAGCGAGTGACATCACAATTACGAATGTGAATGGCCCCTCGATGTACCTTATTTTTTCCATCTCATTTCGAATTTCATTGTGGTCAGCACTTTGTCCTTGTCCTTACATCATTAAAAAAAAACCTGTCAACCACCTCCTCACCATGACGTCAAGACCCCTCCCCCAACCCCTCCAAAATACCGCAAAAATAAATTCTTTACTCGCTGAAAACTCCGTTGATAATGTCAAAATCCTCACTTACCGCACTGACTGTCTCTCCCTCGCCGTTTCTATTGGTCGGCAGTAGCTTCCCGGTGTCTTCCCAACCAATCCTCGTTTACCACGATGAACGCCGACTCCGCCACGCGTTACCACAATCAGCCGCTTGCGCTCGTTGTATATATACGTATATTGCCTCGTTGTCGTCGTTTCGTTCGTTCCACCGTGTTGCCCCACTCGACTGGAGCATTTTTCTCCTACGCGTCGTCCCTCGTTGTTCCATTAAGACTCCCGACGTGGTTCGCGCAGCTCCTAAATTCCATCGGAACATCGAGTTCAGTGGAACCCTTGAACTCTTCAATTTTATTTAAATTTCGGTTTTAATTAGTTGCTTAATTGAAACATTGTAACAATGAGAGTCGCCGGGACTTTCGTATTACTCTGCTGTTTAGCGCTGTCGTTTGCGGAGATTGAGAAGGAAGATGAGGTGCTCGTCATCGGGAAAGACAACTTCGAGGAGGCGTTGAAGAACCACGAGTACATTCTCTTCGAATTTTGTAAGTATTCAATTACTTGATGAGTTTTACATATTGACACTGACTCTCGTTGGGGTTTTCGTCTCGACGTTTCCTGTTGCGCTTTGACGCAAGCCGGCTGATGTTACTTGACATACGGTACGGAGCAGATCAGAACAGAATGGAATAGAATGGTACAGACAACGGGACAAGTTCAGATGTGACCTTACACGTCATCACAACTCAGATGAAACCCCACGCAGACGTTTGTTTCTTGCAGTGGAGTTAATTCTCTGGTTGTAACGGTATATTCTTTATTGTTGAAGTCACTTCGGAATCGTGAGGTTCTGTTCTGATTTTGCCCCGTGTGGTTTGATAATTCTCTGTTGTATCGGGTGAGCAGTTCGTCCGGAGGCGAACGCACCTGTGGAACACTTGTGTCATTTATTCAATTTTTATTTGTTTTTGAGTCTGACGATTAGACGCCGATTAAAGTTGAATGAATTATGTAAGTGCGAATGGGGTGATGAGATACGGGGACCAGATTCCATATGGCCGGCTTTCTTGATGCTTGAGAGGATGGGAGGAAATGCTTTGGAGCACGTATGAAAAAATCGTATAGAAATTTTCTATAGGATTCTATAGGATTTCCGTAGGGTAAACAGATCAATTTCTGGACGGGGGTTAGTTTCTGGGACGATTTCAACTTGCATTGAGTATTCCACAAATAAAATGAAAATTGTATTGATTATTTCACCTCCATAATATCACTTGTGTATAATCATGTGATCAATTATTTTCTTCTATTGATAAACATTTAATAAATAAATAAAAAATGAGACAGTCGTCCAGAAATTGGGGGTTACGGCTACATTCAACTATTTCTCAATTTAATTATTCTTTGTTTTGTTATTTTCACTTTAAACAATTTTTTTCTGCTAATTAAAACATTCTTGAAGGTATGGAAGCCATCATATCCCCATTTAGTTGATTCTTTTATTTTAGATCCTACCACGAAACTCGAATTTCTTTTAATCGTCCAGCAATTGGCCTGGTCACCCTACATGATATTCGGATATTTCCCTACGAATTATTTTTATACATAAATTTTTGTTTCCACACGAAAGATGTCTGAACGCTCCAGAGAAAAACGTAAAAAAATGTCGCAACTCCATACGAAATGTTTCTATGCATGAGGCAGTGGTTCGTATAGGATTAAATCTATTGAAATCGTATAGAAACAATTTGTATAAAAAATATCCGTATAGAAATACCCGAATATCATATACAAAATCCTATAGAAATTCTATACGCAATCCGTATAAAAAGTTGCTATACGATTTTTTCATAGGTGCATGAGCAAATGATTGGCTCTTTCTCTTTTGTTATGGGAAAATTATTGGTCATTGTTTATAGGTTTTCTATCTGATTAAAACCCCGCATTTTTGCATATTTTTTATCAGAGAATGTTGGTATTCAGTCATGATCTGGTAGAAGTGAATTTAGTAGTGAATTCACCTTTTTTGTAAGATTTGGTATTTATCTAACGATATGAGTGATTTTGGGAGATAGCCTGAGAAGAATTCTCTTTGACTACTAAAATTATCCTGTAACATATGTAATTTTCTCCGGTAATTTCTATCTTTGAGATAGTTAAATACCGCGAAGAACGTTCTTCACTAGTTTTAGCCCCTTAGTTGAGCACATGTTCACTCCGCAAATTAGTTTTGTTTTTGGGGTCAAAAGATTTATGAGATTTCGTCTGGAAACATTTTTTTCGGGGAATTTGAAGGACAAATATGAGGTGTGTGCAGAATTTTTGATAATAGTTTCAATTTTTTTAATTATGAAACATTGGAAATTGAAAATAGTCAACATATTCCCTTCAATCATAGTTCAGTTCTTCGAGGGAATTGGTTAAAATCTGAAGCTGTATACTGCAGCCCATACCGAAGATGTATATAATGTACACTGATGATTCATGTTGACTTTCTATTCCTTTGCTTCACCAGATTGAAGAGAAGAGTTGCAGCTTTGGAGAATTTTCAGATCCGTTATCTATTATCTGTCATGAAATGTAAAGTTTTTTGGTGAATTATCGTCATTTTGGTACAGACGATGGGCAATGTTTTGACAAATGGAGTGAACCTGTTTCAGCTAAATCTGTTTATTATTACTTAAGATGTTGTGGCTGTCAGTTGAATGTATGCAAAATTTGTTTTACATTGATAAAAGTTGATAACGACAACATTTTTATGGAGAAATATGTAAAAAAATGACAACCTGACAACATAAACATAAATATTTTCTGAAATAGTCCAGTCGACCTTCATTCTCTCTTATGAAAATTCCTATGAACAATGTTCAAAAATATATAATATATTTAGAAACATGCTTTGAACTAGTAGATTGAGAAAAATATCAAGCTACCGTTTTTTCTCTCGTTGTTTCTCTGCACTGAGAGAAAAACGGCCGAGGTTTCAAACAAGTTTTACTTGTGCCAAAAAAATTTTTTTTTTTAATTATCAAAAAAAATTTTTTTTATTCCGAAAACATGCAAAGAGTGCGACGCGATGAAAACTTTCAGTCGCAAAAATAGATTTAGTAGTTCCAAAAAATTGTATTCTTTGCGCAAACAAAAAATATAATTTCTAGCACTACTTCTTCATTTTTCGATACTTGCATCCTTATGTTGCTCCCAAAAAATGTTCATTTTATGCTAAACAAGGGATACTAGTTTGTCATTTCGACTATTCTATAATCACAGACAAGATATGAATTCTTAAATGAAATAATTATAATCAGAGTTAGCCAAATTTGTAATATTTTATTACGGTTAAATATTGTAGCCATCAATTAGATAACATCACTCTTGAAATTTTTTGAGTACTTAAATATCATCAATTCAAATTTTCAAATATTTTATCAATCAATAATCGAGGTAGGAAGATTGATGATTACTTGTGTAATCGAAAATCCCCTTTCAAGAAATTTTAATTATTCATTTAGCAGTAAATTTGCAGTTTCATATTAACAAATTTTAAATATATCATTATTCGTAAAAAATCAGATTATTAATATTATATCATTTGAAAAATTGAATCAACATATTTTAAACCTTCAACAATGTAAGGGTCAAATCCTTGTAATGTTACAGAAATTTAATATTGTGTGATCCATGATTATGATATGATAGCAATCTTGTAACTTCGGGACAAAATATCTCTTGATAAATTTTCCTCTACATCACGTGTGAATTATCCGCCTCTTGAGTCAAATATCTCGTTGTTATCGACAGCAGAGCATTATTCATGTTTAAGACTTTTTAATTCGAATCAAACAATTACTTTTTGCTTATTTTTAACTAGCGATTTTGTTGGCCCAAGCAAGACTTGTTTGTTTTTTTCTCAGTGTAATGTCTTATACTGAGAAAAACAATTATTTTTACCACATATTCATTTTCTTGAGAGAAGCATTTATTTTTTTCAAAATCGTATTTCTGCAATCGAGTCATTCTCAGGCAAGCCTAATTCGGTTTCAATTATGACAATCATGTTGCTCTAAATCATGACCTTGGATGAACTCCAATGAGTATTCATTTTTCTTAAATTTCTTTAATGTTTAATGTGTATAATTCAGTAGCGAAGCGGTAAAACGGTTTAAGTCGACTTAGCCCTTAGCTGAGTTTTCGAGAAATATCTCCGAATTCAAGGGAGATAACGAAATTTTCGTCATGACCTTTTTTATAGAACGAATTGAGGGCTATAAAAAAAAGTTATAACAAAAATTTTGCTATCTTCCTTAGATTTCGAGATATTCATTGAAAACTGACCAATAGTAAAAATCAACTTAAACCGTTTTACCGGTTTGCTACTGAACTATAGAGGGAGTTCGCTCAATGTTATAACTAACATGATCATCTTCTAGAGCAATATAATTGTCATAATTGAAACCTAAGAAGAATTTCCTGGAAAGTATTCGACCAGAGAAATACGGTATTGAAAAAATGAGTATTTCTCTCAAGTAAATGGATATTTGGCAAAAATAGTTTTTTTTCTCAGTGTACCCCTCAGAGATATCCTCCGATAAGCTCCAAGGTCAACTCCCTGGATAACAGAATTTATGTTCCAATAATCTTCAAAATACTCTTTAAATGAACAGGTCCTATCGGAATACATTGTACGAACTTTTTTCTCCACAAAACACTGTAAACAATCGATGAACGCATCTTCATCGCAATTGTTTCACAACAATTTCACCAAATTTGAAAACTCTTTCATTACGTATCTCTCCCTATTTTCAGACGCCCCATGGTGCGGTCACTGCAAAGCCCTCGCCCCAGAGTACGCCAAGGCGGCTCAAAAGCTGAAAGAGCAAGGCTCAGACGTCAAACTTGCCAAGGTTGACGCCACCATCGAGTCAGATCTCGCTGAGAAACATGGAGTCCGTGGTTACCCCACCCTCAAATTCTACAGAAAGGGTGCCATGATCGAGTACAACGGTGGCCGTCAGGCCGACGACATCATCGCCTGGGTGACGAAGAAGACCGGACCTCCAGCCAAGACTTTGGCCTCAGTCGATGAAGTGAAAGCCCTCAGGGAAGCTAACTCCGTCGTCATTGTTGGTTTCTTCAAAGACCCAGAGTCCGATGGAGCTAAAATCTTCATAGATGTTGCAAGCGCCGATGACGCTCACGTCTTTGGTATCGTGAGCAACGAAGATGTCTTCGCAGAATACAAGAAAACAGATGGTGCTGTGATTCTTTTCAAGGACTTCGATGAAGGTGAAGCTGTCTTCGACGATGAATTGACTTCTGAAAAACTCCAGAAGTTCATCACAAGTAACTCCCTTCCCATCATCGTCGACTTCAACCAGGACACAGCCCAGAATATCTTCGGTGGCGAAATCAAGAGTCACCTCCTTCTTTTCATCAGCAAAGAGGCTGGACATTTCGAGAAGTACGTCGAAAGCATCAAGGAGTCCGCCAAGAAGTTCAGAGGAGAAGTTCTCTTCGTCACCATCAATGTTGATGAGAATGATCACGAGAGGATTCTCGAATTCTTCGGATTGAAGAAGGACGATGCACCTGACATGAGGATCATCAATCTCGAGCAGGATATGACTAAGTACAAGCCTGAAAAGCCCGAGCTCAGTGCTGAGAATGTACTCGAATTCGTCACTGCTTTTGTCGATGGAAAACTCAAGAGGCATCTACTGACTCAGACCCTTCCTGAGGACTGGGACAAGGAGCCCGTCAAGGTACTCGTTGGCACCAATTTCGCTGATGTCGCCATGGACAAGAGCAAGAAGGTTCTTGTCGAATTCTACGCTCCCTGGTGCGGACACTGCAAACAGCTCATTCCAATTTATGAAAAGGTAAATATCGATGGCAAAAAAATTAAATGTGTTTTTTTTGAGATAACGATGAGAAAATATTTGTTCAATGAGACGCATTTGGAGATAAGGAATTAATGATTAATAACTGTTTTAGCTTGGAGAGAAATTCAAGGACAGTGATGATGTTGTCATTGCCAAGATGGATGCCACTGCTAATGAACTTGAGGAAGTTAAGATCAACAGTTTCCCAACTATTATCCTGTACAAGAAAGACACTAATGAGGTAAATATGATTGATGAAAATTTTAATTGGCTTCACATGTATTCTGTTCTATATTGTTTTGGATCAAATCTCGAATTGTGATTTTGGGTTTATCTCGGCGAGTGAAAGACGGGAAAATCGACCAGGAAAAAATAGACGACACACCCAAAATATGCTAAAACCAAGCAAATTGAAAATTTCTCCTGATCTATTTTTTTCCGAGATTACATTTTATTTCCTCGAATGATTAATAATTACTTTGCTTTAAAGAATGGGCTTCGATGATATCTCAAGTTTTCGCTTGCCCATGCTAACCAATCTTTTTGGTACAACTAGAATTCTCAATTTGTTGATAACAACTTTCAATCAAGTTAAAAATTTCATATCATATTTTTTGAATTTCAAACATCTTTATATGAGATTGAACCAGTTTATCTCTCCTTTTTGTGCCCTAATCGCATTTTTCCATCAGAACCCATGTTAAATTCGAAGAATTATTATTGAGTGATCCCGTAAACGGTTTTCATCCACCATTCGAAATTTAGCGACTGGATTTAAAATGTAAAAACCTCAAACCTGATTTTTTTCGGAACTTTCTTTACATTTTTGGTACCACGCCTTAATACCCTTCATTAAGGGGTAACGGAAGCGGTCGCAAAAATTTGTGGATTCCACCACGTACGAAAAAATTTGATTGAATAACCCACCGAATTCGTTGGAAAATTCTATTGGATTTCTATTGAACTTTCTATTAGTTGTCGGCCAAACCCATTGTAATATTCAATCGAAAAAGTCAATAGAATTCGATTTTTCTATATAACTTATTCTCTTCGGATATTTTCTGTAGAATTTCCTCAGCTCAAAGTTTCCACGTTTTTTTCATTTTATTTTTCTTTTCATCTCACCAAAAAAATCAAAGAAAAAAACTTCGAAAATTTGAACCGAGGAAATTCTATAAAAAATATTTCAATAGAATAAGTTATATAGAAAAATCTAATTCTATTCACTTTTCTATAGAATATTTTCTATTGAACATTTCAATAGAATTGGCCAATAACTAATAGAAAGTTCAATAGAAATTCAATAGAATTTTCCAACGAATTCGCTACGTTTTTCTATTAAATTTTTTCATCCGTGGAATTGTGTTTATTTTTCGAATTATCTTGGGGACTTTGTAAAAAATTCATTTCTCTAAAAAAAAGTCTCTTTAAAATTTTCTCTGAACCCACTCCTTAAATTCACTTTTTGACACAAATTAATTAAAACGATCTCATTATTTACAGGCTGTTGAATACAGTGGTGAAAGAACACTAGAAGGTCTTAGCAAATTCATCGAATCAGATGGTACTTACGGTCAGTCCGCCAAGGAGACCCAAGAAGAGGACGAGGATGACGATGTGCCAAGAAAGGACGAACTTTAAATCATCAAATGCACAAAAAGCAAAATAAAAAATCAGCAAAGAGCGTCATACTAATCGTTCGCGGCCCACACTTTCTCGCTTCTCAAATCGACAATCGACCCCGTCTAGACCCCATCCTTGTCCCATCAGTGCCGCATCCACCTTCACAGGGCTCGGAAACCCTCAATAAATTGAGAGCACTCTCAATGGATTCAATGATATTCTTCCCGGGGAGAACTTAGCGTCCATTCAGACTCATTTCAGCACTTCCAAGTGCTGAAACGAAAGCCATCCTCGGTCAAGTCGAGTCTGATCTAGTTTTATAATAATTTCATACCGTTTTTCTTTTCTCTTCGATCTATAAGTTGTTAGTTTCAATTAATATATCTCACTGTTCGTAGTTCAATTATTTCAATCATGACACTGGGCATCATTCCACATTATTGATTACGATGATAATCAATCTACTAAATAAAGTGCAGGCATATCTGGGATTTTAAAAATATCAATTGCAGTAAGAAAATGGTGAAACCTGCACTTACGGAATTATCTCAGTAATGAGGGGTTTAAGAGACAATTTGAAAATTTCTGATGAGAATTGTTTTTCGCATGCATTCTTCTAAATTTGCTCTTTGCCTAGTTAATCACCTAATTATTTAAAATTGATTAACAGGCCAATTTTCGTTATATCTTCAGAATTATTTTGGTAATTAGTGATTTTAGAAGAAATCATCCCTGTTCGAGATGCATGAGTTAAGAAAATCAATAACTATGGATACGAGGACGATTAAAAAATTCAACAGATGCAAGATGCAATAGTTCGAGGCAGTTTTTATTTTTATAAAATCAAAAAAAGTAATATACAATTTTCTTCATTTTGAAATAATGCATCTGTCGATTCGCTAATCACAATCATTCCGGAATGAAGAGAAGTGATTTCTGAGTGTTTTATATATTTTCGTAGTGCAAAATTAAGAACTGAGAGGTATAAAGAAAGGAATTTTGATATTAAATCAAATGTATATGAGGAACAATGGTTGTTATGCGAGGACTTAATTGTACTAAAGAATGTGAATTATGTCTTCTGGTGTTTATTTTGACTGATTAATATCCTCGTGGAACACCTGCAATGAAATCAACACCAGTGGAGAGTCGAATTATGAAAAGATGAAAGAGATAAAATATGGATTTTAAGAAGAAAATAAACTCTATCACTAAGTCTTTATTATATATTCTTCATAATATATAAGATATTTTACCTTGATTTTGTATCATTTTTATCATCAATGAAAGGTCAACGTTTTCGATAAAGAGTTTCTGCATTTGTTATTTATTTTCCATTAGTTAATCATGTTTTTCTTCGTAACAGGAATTGAAGGTTGAAGGAGGAGACAAGCGGGAAAATTTATCGTTGTTGATGCAGTTTGTGGATTTTACTTTGACATCGACTGAAAATGTCAGAAGAATTTTGCAGGCAGAATGTGATGGAGCGAATTTTGTTCTGCGTCCTTGGGTTGTAGAGACTCTGGTGACTCGAGAAGTTGATGAGAATTGTTGCACTTGTGCTCCAGTGAGTTTTGGTTAATCATTTCGATTCTTTTCTGGGTGATAGTCGAGATAGCTCCAGTAGGAATGTAGGGATTCGTTTGGGGTTGAGATATGTCACTGTAGTAGGTTTATTACGAGGTCATGATTAATTTTAGGGAAAACTATAAACTTCCTGTGAGTAATTATTCTCAGTTAGTGGAAGGATTCTTAATGTTTTTCTATAGGATCTCTCTGGTCCAAGAGAATTGTGATTGATGTAGTGATTTCCTATTAAGGGTACCCAAGTATCTTTTACAGTTTGATACGGCCCACACCGAGGGGTTGATCACTTAGGAAATCACTGGACCACGCGACTGGAAATCAACGAAGAAATCATCAGAAATCCAGTGATTTCTATTTTCGGTAGTGATTTTTAAAGATTTCTGAAAATCATAAAGAAATTAGGTGGTTTCCGAAATCATTAGAAATCATCGAGAAGTGTCAAATCGAAATTGATTTTGCAGTTTCAACGCTACAATTTTTATTATGGTATTGGTGTGTTCAAAATCACCCAATCACGACATGTGACGCTATGAAGTTTTTGACATCCTTACGTATTGTAACGTCACGTAGAGAACTGGCATTATTGACAGTTGCCCCATTCTGGTTCCGAAATCACTAGATTCTAATGAATTAATATCTTGAAATCAAGAAACCATTAGAATCTACTAGAAATCATGGAAATCACAAGAAATCAAAAGAAATCATGATTTCTAATGCTGATTGAGAAATCACAAAAATCATTCGAGAAATCACTAAAATCAATAAGAAATCACAGGAAATCTGATTCGGGAAATCACTGATGAGTCATTCGATTGAGGAGTGACCAGCCCCTCGGCCCACGCTATAGCTTCAACCATCTTTAATCATCAAGTTTGTCAATTAAATTGTGTGAGAAAGATTTGAAAAAAAAACATGAATATTCAGCGTTGTTTAAATTACATTTTGCACAGAATGATTTTTTAAAAATATTCGTTGTTGATAAATAAATAATTGAAATTATTTGAACTTTCGGAAACTTTTTTTATTTAGACATAAAATCGATTTCTGGTAAAATTTTGAATACAAATAAATTTGTTACGATTCCGAACAAATGATTTGTTTTTATAAATTATTTATAGAAAATGCTCGTAATTTTCCAAAATTGCAATCTTTAAATTATGTTCTCAATCTTCCTCCAAAAGTAATGTCGAAATTCAGATTCAGAACTGCAAAGTTTAAATAATAGAATCATTGTAAGATGCCTGGAGTATTAGGGGCAAATAGGGCTCAAATGAAAGCTATAATGTTTGACTATAAAAGTAAATGGGGTATTCTATGTGAACTCACCCAGGTCAAAACCCTTACCATCGCCAATCATATTGCCGATTTTTCCTGTGGTTGTATATGGAAAAATATTTCTCAAATTTTTTCAGATTTTTTGAGGCATCCTGTGGACAGCCATGTTTTTTTGCAAGTTTTATCTTCAAATGCCTGTAACTTCCGTAAACATCAACCGATTTGAGTTTTTTTTTACAAAATGTGCGTCTTTGAACACACTTTCCATATAAAAATATGCCAATTTTTTTTCAATTCATTCTTTCATCGATTTCCTCAGAAAAACCTCAAAAAACTTCAAAAAACGAGTCGTTTTCAAAGTTGGACTCTTTTTATATTTTTCAAATAATCTCAGTGAATATATTGGACCAAAACAAAATTTTTCACCAAAGGCCAAAGTGGGCTTCCCATTTCGTGGCCGTCATTTCCAATTTGAATATACGAATCCGGGATGAAAAATTTCAAAAATTTCAAAATTCTTTTCGCATTTGAACGCAGAAGCATTATTTGAATTTACCGCCAGAAGAATCACTGCATTATATTCGAATCTGGAACAATTTGATGACTTTTTGAAAATTCGTTAACAATAAATCTTCCCGAGTGGTGTGTTCTAATAGAGATCCCACTTTGACCTTTGGTGAAAAATTTTATTTTGGTCCAATATACTCACTGAAATTTTTTGAAAAATATAAAAAGGGTCCAACTTTGAAAACGACCCGTTTTTTGAAGTTTTTTGAGGTTTTTCTGAGGAAATAGATGGAAGAACGAATTGAAAAAAATTGGCATATTTTTATATGGAAAGGGTGTTTGAAGACGCACATTTTGTAAAAAAAACTCAAATCGGTTGATTTTTACGGAAGTTACACGCATTTGAAGATAAAACTTGCAAAAAACATGGCTGCCCACAGGATGCCTCAAAAAATCTGAAAAAATTTGAGAAGTCATATTTTTCCATATACAACCACAGGAAAAATCGGCAATATGATTGGCGATGGTGAGGGTTTCGACCTGGGTGAGTTCACATGGAATAACCCAAATGCATTGCACTGGAGAAAAAATAGCAAAAGTACTTGGATATCCTTAAGAGCGTTCTCTTGGTAGTCGAGTGTAATTATGGGTATCTGAATAATGAGTGATTTTGGGAGAAATTTTTATACTATTTTTTTCATCGCATTGTGATGATAAATAGAGTTCAACACTCGTCGGAAAGGTGTTTTTTGACCCTTGGAAGAATAGCACCCGCCTTTGGCGAGTGTAAAAAAAAACTTACGCACTCGCATCGAAATATATTATTGCGCCTGAATGGAAACTTTGTAATCGCTTAAATTTTAGTTTTCAATTTTTCGTGTTAGGATCACTAAATATAGTCTAAAAAGTCCGAATATATGATTTTTAGTCTGAAGTCGGAGACCTCGAGGATCGTTCAGCGATCTCATTTACGAGTAAAAAAAATAGTAGTACTATGACATGAAACAGAAGAAGAGAATAATTAAATAAGAATTAAAGAAAGAGAATCCATTCAGAAACAAATTGCTAATTTATTAGCAACAACAACTATACTCATTTATTTAAAAAATGCCATTATCCTCTAGTGTTTAGTAAGAGACTTCATTAATTGCGAATCTGATTACTACACATTTTGTTCTGAAATGGCTCGCTTTTGACGTAAATGCATAATTGAGGAGTCACCAGCTGTTCACACGTCTCGAGGCGGTCCAATTTTTTTTTGTAATAAAATCGTTTTTTGCACGGAAAATAATAGCAAATGTTAGAATATTCTGTAACGCAATTATATAAGGTCTCGGAACCTTCCGAATAAATCGAAGAGTCTCTTGAAGTATCTGGAGAGTTTCAGAACGTTCTGGGATATTCTAGAAAGATTTATCAATAGTTGGAAAATCGACGTTTTTCAAATAATTCCCGAATTTTTCAGAAGATTCCTGACTTTGTATGATTTTTCGGAGGAATGGCCATTTCGAATCATCATATTACCCATTTTTACACGTTTCGAGTCCCATACAAGAAAAATTTCTTGACGGAGTCTCCGACAATTATGTAGTGAAGAGATTAACCCGCAATTAATAATTATTTCAAAATTTATTCGAATGGCTCTACTAAACCCTCATTGATATAATTTCGGTAATAGATTCCAGATGCAGAAACACAAGCACAAGAAATTGCCACAGGAATCGAAAAGGCATTGGCTCAGGCTCAAAAATTCAGAGAATCCATAACTTTGAAAACTGCAGAAGTCAAACGAAAAAATTCTAAACCCACTCTGCAGAAAATTTATGCACCAAATGATCCAAAATCCAAATACAAAACGACTATAAAAGAGAAAGAGATCCAAAATCAGCAGAAACTTAGCGTAACTGATAAATCGGTGAAGTCGAAGCCGAAGAATTTCATAGCAGCGAACAAAATGAGTATTAGAATGATGAGCCAAAATAATTCTAAATCCACCAATGATTTGAGGAACGCGGGGAGTAGTAGAACGAGTCTAAGGGCTGAGTCTAGATATCCTTCAGTCACAGAGTTGGATAATCTCATTAAGAAATTTTCTCTGGAGTCATCAACCAGCGCATCATCGCCTTCTCTGGCGTCCCCTAGGGATAATTGTCCAGTGCATGGTGACAATCAGGGTGGAGTTATTACGGAGAAAAAACGACTTACTATGGATGTTGTCGAGGCTTTAAATCAGTTTGGAGTCCCGCAGGAGTTACTTAAACCATTGAAAATTTATCATTCTTACGTGAATAAACAAAATGATGAAAAGAAGAGAGAGGGAGTCAATAAATTTCTGGATGATTTAGATTCATTTGTGAGTAAATTTGGATTTTTAGATTATTCTGCGCATGCTTTGGAACTAGTGAATATAGAGGAATTAATTGGAAGATGTTTTCTGTGGATAATTTATGTAACATATACTGTTTTTTGTGATATCTGCCGAGTTCATTATTCGGGGCGGTAGTGAGGGCAAAGTGGTTGTTTTTGTGCACCGAGTGCGTAAAATTCAAGGTCGTGCGGCTAGGCAAAGCTTTAACGCACCTCGTGCAGAAAACACGCGCTTTACCCACACTAAATCGTCCCAAAAAGTCAATTCATTAGGCAGGTATTGTAAAATAGTACATTTCGACACTAGGCCACGAGGAACTTTTCTGGCTAATATGGGGTTACAGGACGAGCCGAAGGCGAGTTCTGTAGTCATAAGAGATAGAAAAGTTCTTCACGGCCGTGTGCCGAACAATGTTTTTTGTTGTTGGGCCCGAAAACCGCGATTTAATCGAGCGAAGCGAGGTTAAAATCGCGACGTATCGGGCCTCCTATCTTTTTCAAAAGTGTAGTCCGCAAACTTTGGAGGCTTATATTTTAGCGAGCAAAAATCGCACCACTCTGAATATTGCTCTAC